CTTCTCCCTTGTGCAGATAAATTTATTTGGAAAATCACTGATTGATTGATTGATTGATTTTTTGCTTTTGGGGTCTTTCCTCAATATTGAACTCAGCGGTTGGGAACCCAGTATGGTCTTAATTAAATGAGCTTTTTAGTCACCTTCAGGAAATAATATTCAGGTCTTAAAATAATAATAATACTCATGTATTAAAATAATAATATTCATGTCTTAAAATTCCCATGGAAGTTGGGATTGGAAGAAATGGTGTCGTAATCAATAATGATGAAACAACAACGTACGTCTACTCCTACCTCTTTTTAAATTGCAATTTTGTGATTCAAAATGTTTTTTTTTTTGTGAGCCTACTCATCTGTTATAAAAATTTTCTATTCCATATGAATAATTCTTATTGTTTCTAATTACAAAAATACATGAAGGGCTGGGGATGTGGCTCAAGCGGTAGCACACTCGCCTGGCATGCGTGCGGCCCCGGTTCGATCCTCAGCACCACTTACAAACAAAGATGTTGTGTCCGCCGAAAACTAAAAAATAAATATTAAAAAATTCTCTCTCAAAAAAAAAAAATGAATAAAATCTAAATTCTGTCCATCTTTCCAATTTTTCAGAATAAACTCAGTTTTCTGTCTTTTCTATTTCTGTTTGAATTGCATCTTGATTTTTATAATTTAAAATGGTATATTTTTGTCAGTTTATATAAAGCTTACTCTTCTAAATAGTTGCACTTTATTCTATTTTCTGAATGGTGTAGTTTAATTATAAAGATCTAGAAGGTAACGTTATTAGATAACTGGCTCTATTTTCTACTTATTATTTGACAGGCTAGAATAATTCACTATTGTCATCTTCAATAAATGTGACACAACTATATCATACTGTCAACAATAACCACATAATAAGTCAGATCATTAACATGAGGAACACATTTTGTAATATTTTTTATAAGGCACACAAAAAATGATAGTGCTCAAAAGCTGGGATAATTTGAAAAAACTTAATAGGGATTTTCCCCCCAATGAATGAAGATGGGCAACTGAGTAACATCTCTGTGTGTGTGTGTGTGTGTGTGTGTGTGTGTGTGTGTTTGGGTCTATTTTTAAATTTTAGGCCAATATTATTGCAATATTACATTCCTTTGTGGAACAATAAACTCTGGAGATTAGACTCTATTAGAAAGTTCTTCACATTATTTCTTGTGGAGAATTTTTACAGGTAAATCAATACTCCATAAGCTCACCTATTGGCATTGAAGTGAGAGCTTTAATTCAGTCTCATGACTATATCTAGTAATTAATTTCTCAAAAACAGACACCAATTCCATCTTTTGCCTAGTTGTTGTCAAAGGTAGGCTCTACACTTAATTGGTTATAACACTGTATGCTATTGAGTATAATTATTATTTTACTGCTGCTTAATATCTGTCACAAGCTAGGTACTATTCTATGATTTTCATAATAATAATTTAATTCTCAAAACAATCCTAAGAGATAAGTAATATTATTCCAGTTTTATGTAATAAAAAACAGGCCTGTAAAGTTGAAGTGAGCATGAAGAACAGGAGCTGAAACTGAGACACAAATTTGATATTAAGGCCCAGATCTTTAATCAGTCTGCACACTGCCTGAATAAATGAATCGAAACTAATAAGCACTTTTTGCTTCAATAATGTGCATATTTTAGTCTTCCAATGATTTACTATGTAGTATATAGTTTTGTTATTTATACAAACTACTTTGTTCTAATGTATTGGGGCAAAGATATCAAAGAAAATGGGAAATGATGATAGTACTAACACACTGAACACATTAATAGTAATAGCATTTTAAAAATATTGGATATCAATCTTAATTAAATTTTTAAAAACTAAAACTATATACCCCTTTATCTTACCTGTGTCCTAGAGGATAGTCTTATTCTTAAGAATTTGAGCCACGGTGTCTGGTTAAGATAATAAACAGATAAACACAGACTAACACACTTTTCTTCTAAAAACAACCTTTTTTGCGGGGCAGTTACCAGGGATTGAACTCAGGGGCACTCAGCCACTGAGCCACATCCCCAGCCCTATTTAGAGACAGGGTCTCATTGAGTTGCTTAGCGCCTCGCTGTTGCTGCGGCTGGCTTTGAACTTGTGCCTCCTGCCTCAGCCTCCTGGGCCACTGGGATTACAGGTGTATACCCCTGCACCTGGCTAGAAACAACTTCTTATACCACAATATATTATATGTACTGCTTAAGATATTAATCCTTACTTTTTAATTGAATAATATTCTTTAAAAAAGTTCACTTACCTACAAATTTCCCTGGCAACAAATTCTAAAGAATGGTGTTGGCATATTTTATCTCTCAATATCTTAAGGTATATATAAAATGCCAGAGAGGTGTGCTAATACCTCTTACTATGCGTTATATTATCTGTAGAAATCTAAGTGAGAGGTAACAACTCAAAATGAATAAATAGCAAGCCAGTAACTGCATATGGTAGCTGTAATTTCCCTTGCTAACAAAAATCCGATTTGTCCTTCCCCTCATCCATATGTTTAAAGGGGAAAATAGTCTTTTTTGAATTATCCCTTCTATTATATAGTTTCCCAGATTTTTAAATTCTTCTACATTACTCAAGTGATTCTATTAATTGTACCATATCTTCATTTGTTTAACTGTTTTTCCTGATGATTTTGAACCTTTTAGATAAAAAGTAAGGTCTAACTCTGTGTGTGTGTGTGTGTATGTGTGTGTGTGTTGTATAAACATGAGAAGAGCATTTGGATAAAAGTAATTTCAGAGATGAAGATAGTATTTTATTATTGTGGAAATCTGCAGGAATTGCCTAGCTAGATGAAAAATATGAATAGTAGCTTCTGAAATTATCATAAGACTGAGACCATAGATTGCAGCAATGGTAATTTTAGTATAAAATTTCATTATGCCAAAAACAAAAGATTTTGGGATTTTTTTCTTTCTTTGAATATAAGTTCATCAAAAGATTTGCTGCTTTCCTCAATTAAATTCTTGCAATTAAATTCAGCAAACTAAATAGGAAAGATCCTCAGGATAAAAATGACTATGTGTGCTGGGTTCGATCCTCAGCACCACATAAAAATAAAATAAAGATGTTGTGTCCACCGAAAACTGAAAAATAAATATTAAAAAATTCTCTCTCTCTCCCTCCTCTCCCTCAAAAAAATGACTATGTCATCTAAGAATTCATAATAGTCAAGAAACAGATTGTTCAGCAAAGTCAAATACATAATGAGACTTTAAGAAAGTAAATGTTAGAAAGACTTCAGAATTTATAGGTATAATAGTACAGATTGTTACTGATGGTGAAAACTGAATTCACCCAAACAGAACATGTTCTTTTGGCACCACTTTTGGATGCTTTTCATTTCCTCTCACTTAGTCCTTTTTCTATGTATTTCTTCAGAATAAAAGCAAGGCAAGGAGTTTGTGCTGCCACTCCAACATCTCCAAGAACTGATATACTAGGGCACTGTTATACACTTAATAGGAGCTCAATTAACACTTCCCAAATGAATAGTGATTATTTTTAAGTGATAATTCTTTTGTTTTTTTGGAAAAAAGTCTAGATACAGTAAAAATTTTAAATTTTTAAATAATACCTATCTAAGAAAATATCTTAACATTCAAATTTAGTATTCTATAGAAAGTACAACCTACCAAGGTGTTACAGAGAAGAGGAACTTTATCTTGTATAGTATACAGGAATTTTGGACCAAAAGTTGGGTCAGCAGTACATGATTTGAACATTCATAAACTCTGAAAACTGTATCCTAGTTTAGTTTACACTCCTCTTTTCAATTTCGACTAGACTTTAAGAAGCTAATGGAAATACAATACAGGTATTGCTCCAATTAAAACCAGATTCTCAGGTTTAAAACAAATGGATGACTTGCCCATTTGTTTTGCTACACACCCCAAGTAAATGATAAGTACAAATTATTGATCATCATACTCAAAAGAGACCTTAGAGACTATCTAATCCACTTGTTTTCCAGATAGAAAAACTAATAAAAATTTAGTTTTAGAGTCTATTTTTTTAGCCTAGTGCTCTTTTAAAGGTAATATTGACATATATATGGAAAAGGATAAAGATAAATGAAAGGACACATTTCAAGTCTTATGAGGAAAAAGATTTTCTCTACCAGTTAAATTCTTTTCTCCCCACGGATTTAATTAAGTTCTAAGAAGTACTTACACAGGCAAGTAACTGGACTGTTTATTTGTGGCTCCCTTTGTGAGATTTGGGTGAAATTAGTGGGTACTAACAATTATGTTAAAATTTTAATTAAATTACATATTTCTGGGTCACTAGCCAACCATTATTCATTCTACTATTCCATTAAAACCTGAAAAAAGACCTTAAAATATATTCTATCTACTTTGTTTAGCAATCAAAAGACTGAGGCTCAGAAACAAATGGGAATTTTTATTTTACAATAATCTTGGGGAAAAATATTCTGCCTTTAGAGAGGGAGCAGTAGTGCAGTTAGAAATACAACACTTGGCTCCTGAAATCAAACATCAAATGTCCTCATACAGGATAATAAAACTGATTTTTTTCTTTTGAATAATAACATGACATATTATGCTATTTTGTATAACACATCACATACAATTAGATAAATTACAAAAATGATATAATGTATTAATAGGAGGCTAGGAGTAACATAATAAAATTACCATCTTATAGCATGGGACTGTCATCTGAATTGTGAAAAGCTAAACACCTAGATGTTTCGACATCTAAGAAGTCGTCATCCAAGGTTACTTCACTGAGACAAAAATATATTTTATTTTTAAGAGTCCATACATATTCCAATAAAATCATATTGGTATTGGAGGAAGGAAGGAAGGAAGGGAGGGAGGGAGGGAGGGAAGGAAAGGAAGGAGTCCTGTATTATGTATGCTTAGTTAATCTGGACATGGAATCATTATTTCTTATTCTTGTTTACAACCTTTGCTTACCCACATACCTAGGAGGCTGAGGCGGCTCCTTCAAGTCACTGGGTATGAGGTTATAAATGCTCTCAGTAAAGCACAATGAATCCATCATCACCAAATGACTTCTTAACTACTGTTCTCAACTTTTTTCTCACTATACTCGTATCTCAGTCCCTTTCTTCACAGCTTCCCCTTTCTTTTTCTTGCTTCCTTGCTTTCTCAAGGAACTCAAGTTTCTCTTTCACATAATCTCCCCTTTGACCCCTTCTTAGCAGTTCACTCTGGAGAAGAAAATACCCTGTCTATTCCTCCCAGGAATGCTTAGCGTTGTTGGCCTTGCGGTTGCTGTGGAAACAGTTACTAGGCGACGGGGAGATGGAAGGCCGCATTGCAAACCAGGTTTCCTCTTGTCTTTCTGCAAGGCTTTTTTCCTGTCTGAGAAATTCCTATGGAAGCCCCTGTGCCTTTGGAAAAAAGGGATGAAAACAGTGTCCTCTAGAACATTTTGCTTTTTTCTCACTTTGTACGTTTGGAGAAAAAAATCTACTACAGCCGAAACCCAGGGGCGCGCAGGCGTCACACACTAAAGCTCTAGTGCGCAGGCCCCAATCCTGGCTGGGGCTAGGAAAGCCCCTGCGGCCGAGCTGACGCAGGGGCCCACGTGGCGAGCGGGATGACGAGGGCGGGGAGGAGCCCAGGAGTTTGGAGGGCGGAGCGCGGGGGAGAGTCACGTGCCCAGTGCTCCGAGCTCGGGCGTGGGGCGTGGCCGCGTAGGTCGGCGCAGGCGCAGAGGCCGCAGCGCGGGGCGGGGCTCGCCTGCTGAGAGCCGGGGTTATGGGGCTGTCTACTGAGGCGGTACTGGCGGTTTATGAACTCTTTCCATTTCCTTTCCTTTTCCCCGTCTTCTCAGTGTGATTTTCTTGGTGAGTTACTGGAGGAGAAAGAAAGGAAAAGTAGAGACCAGTCTGTTTCCATCGCATGCGTTTCTCCCATCGTTCCTTCTTTCCGCTACTCAATTGTAATCTCTGTTTTGAGCTTATTCTACCTGCTGCTTCCGTCTGAGGCTCCTCAGACCCCCCCCTCCCTGCGGAACTCTGCCCTGCCCACCATCGGTGCAAGTGCACGCCCGCCATCCCGCGTCCACCTGCTCCTTCCACCTGTGCCGCCCTTGCCCTCCCCCTCGGCCCTCTGCGCCTTCCTGCGCTACCTGGTGAGCTCTCTGCCCCCGCTACCCTCTGGGCTGGCGCTTCCCTCTCCAGTTGCTTTCTGCAGACCTGTGCGTGAGCAGCGTCGCCTGGACCAGCGAGCAAAGTTGTATTTCAGTGAAGCAATTTACAAAAACAGTGATGGGCTACATTAAGTGGTAGATTGTAGTTTGTGCAGATATCCAGTGTAAATTGTACTATATTGTACATCAGCAAATTAGGCGTTTTTTGCTAATGATTATTTTAATATATTTAAATAAAAATGGCTATAGTAGTGATATAAATAAGACAGTTTGAAAGGAAAATAAGCCCTTCATAAAAGTAACTAGAACATTTTTATAGTATTGAAAGAGTACTTGAAAATCTTTTCAATCAAATACTTGAGGCTATTTGGTATGAACCATTAACAACAGGGCTAACAATCTAACAAAAGGAAAAGCTTAGTCGGATTTGATAGCAATTTTAAAACAAAGATAAGTGATGAACTTGTAAAATGGCTGTAAGATCTTTGTGATTACACTGTGGCCTTACACTGTGTGCTCCTTCCACCAGCTCTCCTTGCTGTTTCCTGGGAAGTAGGGGACTAACTGAAGGCCTCTTAGGTTTTGGGGTCTGTAGTCAGAAACAGCAGAGCTTTACTTCCCCTTGGCGAGTGTATCCCTGGTACATTTCCATCATACAGTTGCCATAAAAGTGCAGTAAATTTAAAGAATTTTTGAAAACATCAGAACACTCTTCTTTATAAGATAATGAGCTAGATCTAGAGAGTCACTTTTCTGAGAAATTTTAAAAAGAAATTGTATTAATATTAATTTAGAATGATGAGCATACTCATGGCATAGACTTTCTTTTAGAAGATCTTTGAACTACAGCCAGTTCTCATGAAATAATTTTTGAAGTGGTCTGTCTTGTGTTTTGGAAAGACATATAATAGCAAGCAAATCTTTTAAATTTATAGCAAATGCTACATAGTTTTGGTTAAACAGGGTTTTAAGGAGTCCACAGATTTGAAAACTAGATAATTTTATAGTAAATTTAAAAATTCTTACGATTTGGAAGTACAAATTGATACATTAGAATATAATTTTAGTTGATTAACATCTAATAGTAAACTTAAAATACTGTTAAAAGGTTGCTGAAAATTAGTATGTACTTGTTTAAATATGTAAGTATATTATTATGCATTCATAGGAAAAATTTTAGTGTTTTCTATAATTTTTCCTCTTGAAATCTTTAATTTTGGTTAGCTTTTGACAGTAAAATTGTTAAATCTTGTGCATGAGGTCACACAGTACTTGAATTCATATGTACAAGTGGACATTCTGGTTTTGTTTCTTAAAGCTATCATGCTGACACACCCTTTTTGTTTACCTATTTAATGTAAAGTGTCTTTTATGTTTATAAAGGATCCATTGGAATTAGTGGTTCAAAAAAGTTCCGCTATAAAATGTGATTAATAGAGAAACTCACTTAAAAAATTGTTAACATGAGGAGCTAGGGCTGTAGCTTAATGGTAGATATCTTGCCTAGCATGTATGAGGCCCTGGGTTGGATCCCTGGCACTAAAAAAAAAAAGAAAAAAAACTAATGTGTAATGGAGTTGTGTGGAAATCTGTGGAATTAAGGAACATAAAGTATTTTTGTGGAGCATTTGCTTGACCAAAAAATATTCAGAATTAGCAATAGAGTGAAACCTGATTATTGATGTCCAAACTATTTGTTTTGTTTTGTATTTTGCAATACTGAGGTTTGAACCCATGGTCTCAGTACATGCTAGGCAAACACTACACTGAGCTACATCCCCAGTCATTTTGATTTTATTAAAATAAACTTAGGGTCTTAACTTAGTTGCCCAGGCTGGCCTTGAACTTGTGATACTCCTGCTTCAGCCTTCTGAATAGCTAAGCTATTTGCTCTTCACTGGTTTTCGATGTTGATTCCTATATGATTGCCTTCCATTTCAGTTCAGGTAGTTTTGCCCTTTAAAGAAAAATTGCTTATTCATTATCACTATAATGGAGAACATATTAAAATATTAATAAGTGAAAAGATTTAATAAAATCATTTTGAATAAAAGAAAAATTATATACTGTTGATCCTCACTATTCACAAATTCTATATTTTTGATCTGCTAACTAAAATGTATTTGTAACTGCCACATCAACACTTGAGTACCACTTTTATAGGCATTCCTGGACAAATGCAAAGCAGTGAAAATTTTGAGTAGTGTCACATGCATGTTCCTAGCTGACGTCAAACAAGGTGATGCTGCCTTCTTGTTTTAGTTCTTGTGTTATAAACAAATATCTTTTTCACATTCTATTTAGTGCCACATTTTCCACATTTCTGTGTGTTAGTGAGTGACTTTGCTGATTAAATGGTCCCTAAGCTGAGTGCTGAAGTGCTATGTAGTGTTCCAAGGTTCAAGAAGGCTGTGATGTGCCTTACAGAGAAAACAGTTTTGTGTGATTAGCTTCATTCAGGCTTGAGTTACAGTGCTATTGACTGAGTTCACAGTAAAGGATGAGCAGTATAAATGTCTTATAAATGGAAACACACATAAAGATTACATGTTGATGGGTTAGCAAGAATCTTGTGCCCAGAGGCTCACAGGAACCTAACCTTGTATTTCCTCTGGGAATAATGGTTCAGTAGTCAACAACAGTAAAGACTCTATTGGACATAATTACCATGGATAATGAGAATCGATAGTATTACCTCTTAAGTAAAAATCCAGTTTACAGAATGTTACGTGTGGGGGCATTATACCATATTCTTTTGTCTTGGTTAGCTTAAAATAGACTTGAGTATAAAGGTTCTAAAATTAATTTATGGCTAGATGTTACAAAATCAAATTTGGTATGCAACTTAAATACAATTCATCTGTATTTTTCTTTAGAAATGGTAATGTTCGTCCTATGTTGTAGCACTTAACTGCTTTCAGCTAATTTAAGGAAGATTTGTAGTAAAAGAATGTTGATACAGAATTTATAAATTGAACTATCATCATTTTCTCTCTTTAATTCATATCCATTTTGCTCCCCCAGACTCTTTTGAAAAAGGGAAATGAGATAAAATAAAAAATGAGAGGGCATAGGGGAAGTAAGAAAAGGGAAGATTGCAAAAGGTAAAGTTAACACATGTAATGTTTGCCTTCTCGTAATGAAGTTGATGTTAAGCATTATAGCAACCAGCGTAAAGTGGAAGATAAAAGATTCAGTGTTCATAAAACAAACTAGGTAATGCACAATAATTCCTGATACAGAGATCAAAAAAAAGTTATGAATTGCAAACACAAAGGCACTCTGTAATGTTTTAAGCAGAAACTTCTTGAATGGGAGGTTAATCAGGCTGTTTTACACAGTGCCCTTATAGCATGTAGTACTAAAGTATACAATGAAGTTTAGTAAATTGCTCTTATGGTTCAAGTGTACAGTTCTCTCTGGTCCTTGGTTTACTCCAGGAAAAGGATCAGACTCGGCATAGCAAAATAGTTCTTAATGCAGGGATGAGTACTACTGTTTTATCTGAAAGTTTATAAACAAACCAAACTACAAAAACATATGCCTAGGCTTGTGCCTGGATATTCTGATTCAAGTTATATGTTCTTAGTCCATTGTCATCGAGTAGCAAAGATTAATATTACTATATATCAATAGTCTTATATGCTAACTACTATGATGTATGTTTTGAATTTATTATAGACCCATTTTAATAGTTAAGAAGTACTTGTGTAGCAGATGCCTTATTTTTGGGCTTTATGTAAGTATGTATTATACAAATCATGAGGTGATTCAGATGAGTAGGATACTCTGAAAGAACAAAGAACAATTCAGACATTTCATAGTTTTATTCTGTCTGATTTTTTTCCCTCTGATTATTACACAGTTAAATTGCTGAAATTTTAGATGTAATTGTGAAAGATTTTTATATTTATTTAGTTATATTGCCTTTTTTTAAAAAAAAAACAACCTTTATTTTTTAGTTGTAGTTGAACACAATTTATTTATTTTTATGTGGTCTGAGGATCGAACCCAGGCCCTTGCATGTGCTAGGCAAGTGCCCTACCACTGAGCCACAACCCCAGCCCATGGTTATATTGTCTTTTTAATCCTTAATAGAAATACTTACAGTACTGTTGAGCAAAATTATTTTCTCTGATAATACAAATGTTGAAAAAGAAATTATAGTATCTTAATCTAATAATAGATTTGGGGAAACATGAAAAGGTGAATTTTTCTTTTAAAAATTTCAGATGAAATTTTAAATAATAAAGTTATTACATTGTAGAATTTTATGATACTGAGTGCAGTTATGTTTAACTTGAAATTTTTTCCTTATAGATTTCATTTTTTTTCAGAAATCACCTTTGCTCCAGAATCAACAAACTCTTCGCCTAAGATTGGTTCCTGTGTATCCCATGTTTATAAGTCAGTGGAGTCAAGCCCTAAACACACAAGCTGAAAAGTCAAATAAGGGAATGAATTCTTTCTTTTGACAGTTTTTACTTGTAAGTTAAATTCAAAATTATCTTAAATTGTTTAAACATTAAATCACCAATTTAGCTTAATCAGTAGTACATGATTGAAAGTTTTCAGAACATATTTGAACATACCCTTTAATATTTGGCATGACTTAGTCACATATTAGTTATAATTAGAGAACATGTGAAAAGCCCCCACTATAAAGTTACTTCAATTTGAGTGACTATTGCAATAATTATTAAATTGCATTTTGCATGACAAAAAAAAATTGATTTACCTAGCCTACTCACCACTGAGTATATTTCCAAAGACAGGAACTTGATCAATATGGAGAATTGTAGAGGATCTTTAGAGGCCAGAATAATTTTTTTCTTTCATCATTGGCAACCTCCCTGAATTTCTTGGCTGTCTTCTCTGGAGTCTGGAATTTGAGTTAAGTCTTGCCACTAATGATGTTATAGGAATAGAAATAAAAATGATGGGCCCATGTAGATAAGGTTATAGATATAACCTTTGACTTTATTGATGATTATTACTTTTTCTTAGCTATTTGCATATTATACCTTTCACTTTGGCTTTTTTAAGGCCTTCAGTATGAATAATATGTAGGTATTATTAATATGCATGTAAAAAGCACACAGGAAAGAAAATGTCATACATTTGTCTGTAGTTTAGAAAATTACTTAAGCATTTTATAAGCAAATATGTTCTTTTATTCTAGTTTTCTGCTGTGAATTCTATAATAAGAACTTGATAAGTAACATGATAATCCATCAACCTGTTCATATAACTAGAGAAGTTGAACATAAAGAATATTGTTCAGCTTTGTGATTACAAGTTATTAATACTCCAACCCAAATTCTCTTTGCATCTGTTATAAAATATATAAACCAATAAACCGTAAATCAGTTTTTATTACAGTATTCCATAAAAGTACACACTGATTTGATTTAGTATATATTTTTAAAACATCTGATGTGACATTTCTGACTTGAGTTTTCTGTTTATAGTTACTTTTTTGTGGTTCTGGGAATCATACTTATTTTTTGAGTTTTTTTCCAAGTGTTTTGAGATTTGAAAAGATACTGTTAAAAAGAGTAATATGTAATATATGGGCTATTTTTTTAAGTGTCCCATTCACTTGGAAGACTTTTAAACAGTTTATGTATAGTGGGCATGGTTATATTCAAACCTATGATCTTACTAACCAATTGTCTCTTTTATTTTTATGTCTTTAAAAAGGTTAAACCCAATTACTAAATTGGCTCAGACAGAAAAGTGAAGAGAATGCTCCGTTTTAACCGATATCAGCATCTGAAACAGATAACACAAAAATGTGTTTCTAGTATACATGTTAAAACAGATAAACATACACCACTATTTCTTTCAAGAACCTTTGCACTCACAGAATTAAGGAAGTCATGGTGTTCAACCCACTCTCTTTTGGGAGACAAAAATATTATCCTAATGGGACCTCCTGGTGCTGGAAAAACAACAGTAGGCAAAATAATAGGGCAGAAACTAGGTCGTTGTGTCATAGATGTGGATAATGATATTCTTGAAAAAACTTGGAATATGAGTGTGTCTGAAAAATTACAGGATGTTGGCAATGAGCAATTTTTAGAAGAGGAAGGAAAAGCTGTGTTAAACTTCTCTGCATCTGGAAGTGTGATTTCCCTCACTGGGTCCAATCCCATGCATGATGCTAGCATGTGGCATCTAAAGAAAAATGGCATAATTGTATACCTGGATGTACCCCTAATGGATATAATTAGCCGTCTAAAATTAATAAAGATAAATAGAATTGTAGGTCAGAATTCTGGAATGTCTATGAAAGAGTTACTTAAGTTTAGGAAACAGTATTATAAGAAGTGGTATGATGCTCGAGTTCTTTGTGAAAGTGGGGCTTCCCCAGAGGAGATAGCTGACAAAGTGCTGAATGAAGTTAAAAGGTACCAAGATGTGGACTCAGAAACATTCATTTCAACAAGGCATGTTTGTCCTAAAGACTGTGAACAGAAGGTTTCAACAAAATTCTTTAGCGAAGCTGTGATTGAGGGCTTAGCTTCTGATGGTGGACTGTTTGTTCCTGAGAAGGAGTTCCCAAAATTAAGCTGTGGGGAGTGGAAAAACCTAGTAGGAGCAACCTATGTAGAAAGAGCACAGATACTGTTGGAAAGGTGTATACATCCTGCGGACATACCTGCTGCCAGATTGGGAGAAATGATTGAAACTGCTTATGGGGAAAACTTTGCCTGCTCAAAAATTGCTCCCATCAGGCACCTTTCAGGCAACCAGTTCATCCTGGAGTTGTTTCATGGGCCAACAGGATCATTTAAGGATTTATCTTTACAGCTTATGCCTCATATTTTTGCACACTGCATTCCACCAAGTTGCAATTATATGATACTTGTAGCTACTTCAGGAGACACAGGGAGTGCAGTCTTAAATGGTTTTAGTCGTCTTAGTAAGAATGAGAAGCAAAGAATAGCTTTGATCACATTTTTTCCTGAGAATGGAATAAGTGATTTTCAGAAAGCACAAATAGTTGGCAGTCAGAGAGAAAATGCATGGGCAGTGGGTGTCAAGTCAGATTTTGATTTTTGCCAGACAGCTATAAAAAGAATTTTTAAAGATTCTGATTTCACTGGCTTTCTTACTGTGGAGTATGGAACAATATTAAGTTCAGCTAATTCCATAAACTGGGGACGACTGCTTCCTCAGGTAGTTTACCATGCTTCTGCCTATCTTGATCTCGTTAGCCAAGGGTTTATTTCTTTTGGAAGCCCGGTAGATGTCTGTATTCCCACAGGAAACTTTGGAAACATATTAGCAGCAGTGTATGCCAAGATGATGGGAATCCCTATTAGAAAATTTATCTGTGCCTCCAATCAGAACCATGTTTTGACCGATTTTATAAAAACAGGACATTATGATCTAAGGGAAAGAAAATTAGCTCAGACTTTTTCACCATCAATAGATATTCTCAAATCCTCAAACCTGGAGCGACATTTACACTTGATGGCTAATAAAGATGGGCAGTTAATGACAAAATTATTTAATCAGTTAGAAAATCACCATCACTTCCAAATTGAAAAGATTCTAGTTGAGAAACTTCAGCAGGATTTTGTGGCTGACTGGTGCTCTGAAGGAGAGTGCCTAGCAGCTATCAATTCTACCTATAATGCTTCAGGATATATTTTGGATCCACACACTGCTGTTGCAAAAGTGGTTGCAGACAGAATGCAAGACAAAACTTGCCCAGTGATTGTCTCATCTACAGCTCATTACTCAAAGTTTGCACCTGCTATTATGCAGGCTTTAAAGATAAAAGAAATCAACCAAACTTCATCAAGTCAGCTTTATTTATTGGGTTCATACAATGCATTACCTCCACTACATGAAGCTTTATTAGAGAGAACAAAACAGCAAGAGAAGATGGAGTATCAGGTTTGTTCAGCTGATATAAATGTCCTGAAGAGTCATGTGGAAAAACTAATCCAAAATCAACTCATAGGAAGGTTTTCTGAGTAGAATATTTTTTCCTGGTGATAAGCATGCAATAATAAATCTCAAAAAGTTGATTTGGAGTACAACAGCATTTGTTTCTATGTAAATGTATACATATATACGTATATATATTTATCTGTTAATTTTTGGAACTTCAGTAGCCTAATTTCCAGGACCGATCATTATACCTACATATACCTCCTTCAATCCTTAATCTAGAAGTGACAAATGGTGGCAAAGTACATGGAACCTTGTGCTATCATGCTTTGCTTTGTGCTCTTGAGGGCTATATCAGTTTCTGCTCCCTCATCTCCACTTTTTAAATGGACCAAAATGTATTCAGTTTTGCAATTAAAAATATTTAAGCACAATTGTTAAGTACTACGCTTGTGACCATTTACTATTTCTCTTTTGGCTAGAAAGTTTTTATTGCTCAAAATACCTAACTTGTTTGGAGGAATTAGTAAGTTCATCTATTAAGGTTAAGGCAAGTATTTTTAACCATTTTTAAACTCCATTTTGAACTTGAATTAATTGTGTGTTTCCTACAATTATCTAATTAGATAAGTGTTCTGCCCTTCACTCTCCTTTGACTATTTATAGTTAGGAGGAAGAAATTTGAAAAGCAAGACAGTATTTAAATCCAGGATGTAACAGTCAACAGAAGTACTTAGAAGTGGATATAGAAATAAAATTACCTATTTCAAGAGGTCAGTTCTCCAAAATTAAGTGTTAATACAGGTATAGGTATTTTTATAGACAGCAGCTTTCCCATATTATTGGAATCCATTTCTGTATAATTGATCTATTAACCCTTCAGTAAAATGTTTTGTTTTCTGTGTTTTTCTTGTTTTGTGGCAGCTACACAAACACTAATACACATTTAATTTGCACTACTATGTAGAGACAATAGATTTAACTAAGATTTATATTTGCAAATTTACTAGATATTTTATTTCTGAATTAAATATTGTCACGGAAAGGATCCATTTGTGTATGGGCTACTCTCAACCACAAGATGGCATGCCTAACATAATTTGTCTTTGTGATAACATTTCTGCCTCATTTTCTGGGAGGACCACCTCCATGAAGAAATGATATTTAAAAGTTATAATGATGAAGTTTCACCAGGAGCAGTTTTTAGAAAGTGTTAAATTATGTTAACATCAGATCTCTTGACTTTACTTCTAAAATGGAAGTTATAAAGCCAAAAATAGAAAATCAGCAAAATAATGGAAGTTTCAAAGTTCTGCACATGTTAGTGTCCCCCCCCCCAACATACCTTTTTTTTTTTTTCTTTTTCTGGTGGTACTGAGAATTGAAACCCAGAACCTGGCACACACTAGGTAAGCACTCTACCAGTGAGCTCTATCCCCAGTTTTTTTAGACAAGCTCTCACCAAGTTGCCAAGACCGACCTTGCATTTGTGATCCTTCTACCTCAAACTTCTCAGTAGCTGGGATTTGCACCACCACTCCTATGTGTATTCATTACTTTATAATTTAAAGATATTTGTTTCAGTAGATGATATGTTTAGAATATGCATCTGAATGTTCACTGTGTGTGTGAGAGTGCTCTATTTTCCTGGAAGTGGAAATGACAGTGAAAGAAGCCTGATTTTTGCCGTGAAGAACTGTACTTAACAAGAGAACACAAACATGGAATCGTGCAACACTAGACTTATTGCAAGATAATATATGAATAAGTGAAAATTGAGTGATACCGCCGATTGCTAAAAAAAGTTAAAGGAAAGGATTGTTAAGGAATGATCAGAAAAGGTTTCATGGAGGACATTCTGAAATGAGGCTTGAAATGGGAAGATTTTCTAGGTGAAGAAAGGGAAACATTCTAGACGAAGGTCATGTTAGCAGGGGAGGTAAAATGGTAAAGCCCACCAGCATTTATTTGTGGTTAGTTTGCTCTTTCACTCTTCAAAATGGTCATTTCATGTCTCCACTTTTTCTTGAAACTGTCCTTCCACTTTCAGCCAATAACCTTGCTTCATTTCAGAGGAAAAAGTTATTGTGTATAACATCTCTTAGCCTTCCCACATCAAGTGTATAAATCTGCTATACTTATTAGCATCCTTTCCTTCTTCCTTTCAATGAATTTGGTAGCAATCCTCCTCCTTTCAGAGAGCAGTCTCTTCAGATGTGCCTTGTAACTTGTTCCCTTCAACTCAGATTATTTGCTTCAGCTTCTCTTCAACTTCTCCCATCCAGTGGAACCTTCCTGTGGCTTTTAGATGCTCTCTGCATTAAGAGCAAAACTTCTCAACACCCACATTTCCCCCATCTATTTTTCTTTATATCCCAACCAAAATTAAGCTCTTCAAAGAGTTGTCTCCATACCGGGTTTCCATTTTCTTCTTATTTCCTCCACAGTGTATAAAATGTGAACAGTTTAAAGATGAATAATAAATACCTAAGTACTCACCACCTCCTGAGCAGTGAAGAATAGAACATCACTCAGACATTTGGTTCCTGCTGTGGTTTCTGTTTGATTACATTCACTTTCCTCCTCCAGAGTTAACCACTATCTAAATTGAATCATTCATTTTTTAAAAAATAGTTTTATTTTGTTTTAGTTTTGACTCTCTGAATTTTATCTAAATGGAATCATACTGTATGCATGATTCTGGGACCTTTATTTTTATTTAGAAACTTTCATCCGGTAAGATGAATCAAGCCATGGTTCATTGATTTTTATTTTTAAATAATAATCTGTTGTGTGAATGTCACTACCTATTTCCCAGTTAGTGGGCATTTTGTCTAATTTGTATCTTTTAAAGATGAACTTTTGTAAAATTTGTGTTGAAGGTTAGTGAATATGGACTTTCAATCATTTGTGATTCTTTTAATAACAGGTAAAACTAGTTTTCAGATCTTGACATTAAAAGTATATGGGTTATTTATGAAATGAGTCATCAATTTTTAGTCTGTGGTTATAATTGTAACTTTTACTATCTTTGAAATTATTTTACAATATCTAATGTAGTGAATTTGTAAGATTTTTGAGAAACATGAAAATTTTAATTACATATTTTGGAAATCATAAAATATTTCAATCAAAATAGAGTTTAGACAATAAATTGTACAAGGTTTCAGAGTTTAATTGCAATTCATTTTCAGAAGTAATCATGGATGACATTTATTGTTTCTCTGAATCCATTAAATCATTTGTAAACATTTTATAATTCAGACTACTTAATGTAAGTTTAAAAAAAGTAACTTTTCATGTGAACATGAAAATATTATATTGTTTTTGTCTCCATCCAGGAAATTGAATAAAATCTACCTATGAAATAGTTATTTGTGTGGTTCCCTTCTGTGCACTTCAACCACTAAAATCATTAGTTTTGTCTCTTTAAAACTTGAAAAACAAATAGATTCCTTCAAAAACAGACTTTTTCAACTTAAGGAAGCAAAGCCAAGAAAGTTGCCAATGTCATGGTCGAAGTCAAACCAAGCAATATTTTGATCCAAGTTCCTACATCAAAAGTTGGGATTGCTTCCTATAGAAGAATGCTTTATTTAAGTTAACTGTTTTTCCTTTTAAATTCAGAGCTGTGAGTGGCAGGTAAATTTAATTTACAAATATTTTAAATAATCCACAATGTTTCATTTTTTTTCCTTTTTTCAAACTTTTTATTGTATTGAGAATTGAACCTAGTTATGCAATACCACTGAGCTACATCCCCAGCCTTTCTTAAAATTTTGAGACAGGGTCTCACCAAGTTTCCCAGATTGGCTTTGAGCTTGTGACACTCCTGCCTCAGCCTCCTGAGTATCTGGGATTACAGGTGTGCACCATTGCGCCTGGCTCACAATGTATTATTATTTTGAGGGGGGAGGTAAGCGGGGACTGAATCCAAGGGCACTCAACCACTGAGCCACGTCCCCAACCCTATTTTGTATTTTATTTAGCAACAGGGTCTCACTAAGTTGCTTAGCACCTCGATTTTGCTGAGGCTGGCTTTGAATTGGCGATCATCCTGCCTCAGCTTCTCGAGCCACTGGGATCACAGGCATGTGCCCTGTTGCCTGGCTTCAGAATGTATTATTATTATTACCATTTAGAGAGAGAGAATTTTTTTATATTTATTTTTTAGTTTTCGGTGGACACAACATCCTTATTTTATTTTTATGTGGTGCTGAGGATTGAACCCAGCGCCCCGCGCATGCCAGGCGAGCACTCTATCGCTTGAGCCACATCCCCAGCCCAAGAATGTATTATTTTTAATGAACAAATTGTATTTGGAGGATGATCCTAAGGATGAGTAATAAATACTATCTAATAGTAATGATTCAATACCATCTAATACTAAACTTAATGGTATCCTATGAGATATTTTTAAGCAAATGATTTATTACCATTTTTCAAAGTGGGCACTTTAAAGTAGATACTCCGAGCTCATGATAGTTGCCAAAATTAGAATACAGTCTCTAGAAACCATATTGAACAATGACAAGAAGTAAAAATATTTTGAAAAACAAACTGTCTTCTTAGTAATCTCTAAGATATATGCTAATTTTAAATGACTAATGTAATTTCACACTAATAGAGGCTTACTTATATTCATGATGTTATTAAAATTTAGTTTATAACTATATGTCCACCCATAGAGATTTTTTGAAGCTATGTATTGAGAAACTGATGTGACTCCATTTTTGAGAAACCAGCCTCTACCTCAGAGCAAAGCCTGTCCAAGGAAGGGAACATGACCCTTGTCCTTGGAAAGACCCACAGAGCACTCCTAGGCACATACCCACCCTGCTGAGTTGTTTATCTACAAATAATAGGAGAGATCTGGGCTCCAGGTGTTCCTGACTCAGTCAGGCTAGGTGAGGACCCATAGCAACCCCCTAACAACTACCAATCAGCATGAGACAGGGAAAATACTTGAGATTCCAGATGACCCTCCCAGTAGTTTATGGTGGTTGATAACATGTTGGGAAACCCTGTAGTTCAGCGCTTACTCCCCTCGTGGCTTAAGCCAATCAGTTCAAAGGAATCCCCCTCTTGAACTAACCAATCACCCCTACCCAACTTGTTCCCGCCAGTGAATGTGCTAATCATGTTTTAGAGTTGTTTTATTATTTTCCCACGGTGTGTGATGATTTGCTAAGAGATGCTATGATGTATGTGAAGTCCCTGTCTTCCCCAGAGAGTGTATAAAACTGCTGCAAACCCTGGGCTCAGGGCCTCTCAGCGTCACCAGTTGCTGTGTGCTAGGAGGACCGAGCTAGCTCGCAATAAATGCCTCTTTGCTGCTTACTTCGATCTTGGTCTCTGGTGGTCTTTTGGGGGTCCCGAATTCAAGCATAACAGTATAAGAATAACTTCACAGCATGCTTGGCAGCACATGCCT